GCCACTGGCAGTAGGTCAGTCCCTGACTACCAGCAGCGTAAAATTCGTGCTGACCTTGACTCGGTAGGCCACTGGCAGAAGGTCAGTCCCTGACTACCAGCAGCGTAGCGAAAAGTCGTGCTGGCCTTTTGACTCGGAAGCTTGCCGGTAGTCTTTTCCAGTTGGCAAGTTGGCAAGCTCCCCCCTGTTTTCGTCAGACAGACGTGCCTCAGACAAGCCCTTAAACATCCTTTCTCAGGCCGGACCTATGTGGCTGGCTGCTGCAGCGAACGCAGGTCAACCCTGCGCGTCTTAGTGCCGGGCAAGCCAGCCTAAGTGCATTTGCAGCTTCGCGCGCTAGGGCCGGTGCTTTAGGGCTTAGCCAGCAGACAGCTCGGAGGTAGGCATAGGTACCACCTGAAACCCCGCTCTTATCATGCTTCTGTGCCTTGATGACAAAACCGTCCGAGCGGTGCTTGCTTTCTTGACAGTTCCCACTGGCCTTGCCTTCTTCTTGGACAGCGATGATCCGATGCCGTCTCCTGGCACTCTCCTAGCTGCCTGTGACAAGGTCAGGCGCCTGCGCCCATACTTGGAGGCCGCGGGTGGCGAGATCGAAACTGTCGATCGGGGCTTCATCATTTTCACCAACGTCTTTCCAGCGGACATCTATGCTGTGCTGGCACCAGCCTCTAAGGTCCTAGCAGCCACCTATGATGCTTGAGCTTGGTTCGCTGCAGCCCCACATCCCCGCCGACGGCCACACGGGGTACGAGCACTGGCCGGATGGAGTCAGAATCTACATGCACTTTCGGGACGTACTGATAGTTGCCACGGTCACAAATCGTGTTCTTGCCACTCCCTGACTGAGCCACTGGCTGCATAGCGAAGGCCACTGGCTGCGTCTCCCAATTTTGTGGTTGTAGGGCTTGACGCAGCCTATGGCAGCTGGTAGTGGACGCCCGGAGTAACCAGTGAGAACAGAAACGAGGTTTGCCTCGCAGCTGCAGCCACAGTTTTCAGGCGTACTTAGGCTCACAGCGTTTGCCAGCGCAGCCTGCAGCGAGGGTTTCTGGTCGGACATTTGCAAATGCCCTGTGTGCTTAAGCTGACGTTTGCAGGTTTGCTGAAGGCCGGCATGACCCGAGAGCCGACCGGGCTCGAAAGTTTTTCTGCCACTCTTTCACAAAGTGCGACCTGCCGCCATGATTCCTGTCCCTGATGACTCTGCAGACTGGGGGGACACTCTTCAAGACTTGGAATTTCTGGCACTCACGGACAGCACCTTCCAGTACATGTTGGCTGGAGATCAGTACGGCGCCCGCTCCCTCTTTGGGGGCCAGGCCGTGATTTGTCCAGGAGCGGCCCTTACTCAGAACTACAAGCGCTCCGGCAGCATCACGCCCTCCATCCTGGAGTTGCTTTCGTAGCAATGCCTCCACATGCTCAAAGACAACCTCCATAAGAAGGTGAACGTTGCCTTGATCCCCATTGAGGACTCCATCCCGGAGGACCGCCAGGTCCACTACGATTGGATAGGTGGCGCAAGGGCTGCCTCCCTGGATCTCTGAGAGCTCGCAGATCAACGCATCATGACGCTCGGACCGCTTGTCTCCGCCAGGCTGTACAGCAACAAGGGCAGCAATCGGGGCCCTCGCCGTCCGAGCACTCCGGGCCATGACCTCTTCGAGGCCGGAGGCCTTTCCGGTCTTGCTAGTATGCTCCTGGAATATCAAGCTGCCCAATGTTCATCGCGAGATGCTGGCAACCAGAAAACTGTGTCTTGCGGAGACGGTCGGGGACCTGCTTGCGGCTGCCCTGCGTGCATCGCGCTCAATGTGGTCCCTTCGCTACTCCTTTGGGGAGATTTTAGAGGACCAGCCTTTCCCGCAGGGCGTGATGCAGACTTACATGCACGACTCGAAGCCTGTGTCGCAAGTACATGCCGGACATGACCAGAACTTTCTGCGACGACGAGAACATCCGGCAGACCCTCCTGGACCACGCCGGCACGTATAGCAAGGACCTGTACAATGTCTTACAGAGTCCGGCCCATTGCGCCGACCCCTTCAGGTATGTGTATCTGTACGAGCACGGGGGCCTCTATCTTGACATCAAGTGCTCGTTGAGGATGCAGTTTGATGAGCTTCGGTCCTGCTTAGCTGAGGAGTGGGGCACTGCCCAGTCTTACGCGCACTCAGCGCTGGGGCACTGCCCATCCCCACCCGGGCAACTACCGAAGGACTACATGGTCATGGCATAGGTAACCGTGGCGATCACATCTTTCAGGGCATCATTTACTGCCGACCTCGCCATCCGCTGCTCCTGGAGGCCATCGTTCAGTTCTACAGCCCGACTATCCTCGACGGGGCTGCAGCTAGTGACTACCTCGTCTTCTGCAAGTTCCTCTACGGTGTCCTCCGCAAGAATCTGGGACATCCCCCACAGCATGGATGGAACATCTCCAGTAGATTTGGTCCGATCTACCTGCTACGGGAGCGCCCAAAGACCTCCAGGCTCACTCCGACATCCCCACACATGGCCACTACATGATCACGCGTCTCAACAAGATCGCCATGTTCACTCGATGCTGGAACTGGAAGCGAGACTTTGCTGGAGACCTCGCGGCCAAGGCGAGGAATGAGGCCCAAATGCTTCGCGCCACGCCGGACGCCGCTGACGCAGCCTGGGCAAGGAGTCAGGCAGCCTCTCCCACCAGCTCCACCTCAGGCGCAAACGCGGACCTGCAGATGTGGGCAGATGAGGCCATCGCGAACAACCTCTACGAGAAGATCATGGATGCCCTCTCACAGACAAGGTACTATCAGGACCTGAATTCTCAAGGGGCTCTGCCTATCTGAGGACCAGCCTGGCTACCTCAGTTGCAGACACTGCCTCAACAAGAAGTGTTACCTTCCCTACCAAATCACTTCCGTCAGAATTCGTATCATACCCCCAACTGATGGATCAACTCTCTTCTGCTGCGGCCTCCTCCGCCGCGCCAGCCCAGGGGCCCTGCCCAGCCCAGTCGCCACACCAGCTAGCTGACTCCCAGCATGCATCTTACTTCTGTGCTGGAGACTCCCAAGACCGCGCCGCCTTTCTTGGACATGCGGTCCCACCACGTCCCCCCAGTCTCCCAAGCTCACCGCCCAAGTCGAGCCAGCCCAGTGGCCCGCTGGACCCCCTTGCCCCATTCAGGAAGAGCCCTCTCCGCCAGCTCCACCCCCTCCCTGAAGCAGGAGGCGGGCCTGGTCGCTGCGCTTAAATCTTATGAGCTCCAGGAGTGGCTACGTGTCCCTTTGCAGAATGCATGTCTTGACGCAGCAAATGCTGCTAGGCGGCCAAGACTACGACGAGCTGATACCGCTTTGGGCCAAACGAATGAAGGTTATGTTCGCGCCCCCGCCTTTGTTCGAGAGCATAAACTTGCTTTTTCTTAGGAGGGGCGT